CACAAGACACTATTGAAAATACGGAAAATATGTTTTACTGCAGTGAAAATACATTTGTTTACGGTCAAAATACTGAAAGATGAAAATTCGAATTTTTTCATCGATATTTATATAAGTATATAATAAAAGAGCTTTATTAAACTCAAGCACCTTGGTTTATGTGATAAACCCTTTTTAATCAGGGTTGTATTCATTAAACAATATGAAATATATCTTTTTTGAACCGACATACTGTCATAATTTTGTAACAAACGATTTGCAAAATTATTATTTAATCATATTTCTTTACATTTCTTTTAATAATAAGTTATTTATATTGTGACATTCACAGCGTTTTTACTACATTCCGATAAAAACATTTTGGAGTAGAATTTCTAAAAACATACTCACGTTTACGAATGTTTATGTATTGCATTATATTATATAAGAAAAATACTAGTTTTTATTATTTGTATCGAGAAGTTTTTATTACTCTTGGATGTAACATGGCTGAGAATTATAACACATTTGTAAGAATTCCAATCGTTTACTCTACAGAATATGTTACTTAAAACAATACTCAATGTACTTATGTGATTTTGTAATCCCCTCTCCTGTCGATTTAATACCTTTTTATTGCATTTCACCATATGTTTAGCACATTATCTTCGTTCAAAACCATTTGCTCTTCGTAATTGTACAAATTCATTTATGTAATAAAAATCTTTAAGTACAACTCTTATGTTAAGAGTACCTACATTGAAATCTTAACAACTATCATATTGTCTTATTTGTGTTGTTTTTACTTCCTTTATCAAGGGATTTTGTGGCATTTAAACATATATTTTTGCTTTCTGTTTTGTATATACATGTAACAATACATTTGGGAATGTTTCTATTTCTATATTTTTTAGTATTAGTTTAAACACAATTATTCAAGATCGATTGCGAAACAAAATTTTGCAACTTATATTAATCACTTTCGAGTCAGCCTCCTAGAACCAGCCAGTACTGGTGTCATATAAAGAAACATGGGCGTGACCCGAGTAGGGCTCAAACCCATGATCCCTGGGTAGAGAGGCATACACCTTAACCACTAGACCTTATTAATATATTATCAGACCATATAAAAGTGTTGCGTTTTCTATTAATTTAACAATCCAAAATAAACTGTTGCTTTTTTCTGTTACATAAATAGGCTGAACTTGACTTTTATAAAAATACCCTTTTGAAGTACATATTTGTCCAATCGCGCTTTTTAATGTTACTATTCCGTATACTGAAGTATGGTTTCGAAAACGTTATAAAACTTTCAAGCACCTAATTGTGGTTACAAATTTAAGTTTGCTCGTTCCATTATTGATTATCTTAATACTCTCAAATGTTTGCTTAAACAAAAATAGTTCGATAATCACAATTGTACCTTATCGCGATATGCCTAACTTTCAGCTTGTTGGTTAATGGGTTACTGAATTTGATCACAAATGCATCTTTGTTTACCTTTTCTTGATAAAGAATAAATCTGTTTTCGTCCTCTTTATAAATGTATCTTTTGCTTAACTTCATGCTAAAGTTTCATCTTCTTTATAAATGTATCCATAAAAATAAAAGTAGCATATCATCCTTTCCATCTATAATTATTGTGTTGCAAAAAGGTTTATGAATTTATATCCGGTGCTAGGGTGCATGGCATGTCGCTTGCATTTCTGAAAAGGCTCAATAAAACAAAGCTTGCAACATTTTTAATTTTGTCATTTTGAGAGTTCTTAAGGTTTCCGTTTGTCAATGGTTTAAGATATTATTGTCTATATCTTACTCTTTTCACATACAAGAAGTGAGTTTTCTTTCTTGCAGGGAAAATGGCCCTATAGAATAACAAGAGCAAACTAGGACATTGGCTTCTTCAATATTGTAGCATCTAATTGTAAGTATGATTTCACGTTTTCATGTCGTTTCTTTTATTTAGTCACACCGGTACTATGTAATATGGCGACTTTCAAGCTTTACTGGTGTAAGAAAATCTCAGGTGCCTAATGCATTTTTTCATGCAAGAGCGGGCATCGGAGTAAAACAACCGACCATCCGTTAGCTGCCCAGATAGCTGTTCTCACATAAATGAATTAAAAGTCTCTGGCGAGAATCGAGCCCTAAGAATATTATTTAGAAGGTAGTTAGTTAATGATTTGTTGTCATACAATTTCCCGCTATATTTTCCGAGAAACAGTTCACAATAGATAATACTACATCTTCATTTTTTCAAACCATTTAAAATAAACAACAGGTCTTTTCTGAAAGAAAAACAGAATGAACCGCCCTTATTTCAACTTTTATTAAACTTTTATATTTCAAATGACATTAGCAGAGAAAACTTAGAAGTTTTGCTGACACAAAATGATGTTCAAGTTAATTAAAAACTAGCTTGTGTGAGAAAAACTTTCCTTGATAGTTAATTTAGAAGTAATGTCATGTTTGCATGTTGCAGTCACATAATGCCAGGTCTCATTTTCCCAGTCTACTATCAGTTGTTAGATATGTAATTGCAGATGTTCACAACCACAGTTGTGACAAAACTATTCAGAGATTTTTTAAAGATTGTAGTTTCTTAACTGGACAAGTTTTGTTTAAAGGCTCTATATGCCTCAGAAATGGATTTTAAAAATTTATTTTTTATTTATCAAAAGCTTTTAATTTTTGATGCCCTGTTATAGTTGCCAAAAAAATCATTGGCCAATTTTTGCTTCTATTGTTTCTTTTTTTTGCAATTGGTGCAGATATAGTTATTAAGTAATTGGTATGGAAATCAAAATACTATTTTCTTTACATTTCGCAGCTTTTATGACAAATAGTTATACTTCTTGTGCTACTTTCGTTAAGTAATAAGCATCTAACTTGCTCTAAAACTGTCTTCTTTTAAATGTTATGAAACTCATGTTTGCTTTTTTTCTGAAAGAACAAATTTATTTAATGTACCTTTAATGAACACAATTGCTATTCTTTGAAGTCTTGTATGTTTAATGAAAGGTTACGGATATAAGAAATAAGTCTATCACTGTTAGATACGTGTATGTTTATGATGAATTTTTAATAAACATTGCTCCAAAATAAATTTATTTTATCATTGATTATTGAACCATATTATGAAACATTTCATACATTTTCGTCACAAAACATAAACGGTTTAAAAGTGCAATACATACTTCACTCCAGTGTCGTTATATTTTCTGGTCCTTTGGAATCACGTATTTATGCACTTTAAGTGTTAAAAAATTGAGAATCGCTCAAGCCTGTGCTAAGAGCGTTTTCCCTTATGTACAGACTCTTTCAAACCGAGTTTATATTTTTCATGTAATTTTGTTATGATTAATGCTTTCGAGGAATCTCTCTTCTTCCAGATTTTTTAACGGTAAATTGTTTCGTTACTATATATGTCGTAAGCATGCATTTAGGAAGTGATAAATGACCACCATTTGAAGAGTATGTAAATGGCTTAAATTACTGCTTACTGTATTTAAACTGAAGAAGATGTGTTGTTTATGACAGCAGATACTTTCATTTGTACTTACATGTATCAGTTCAATTATAGTTATAACAGATCAAATGCCGCTTGACAGGTCTTTGATACGATGTTTCAGTCAAATCGCTCAAGTGACATCTGCTCTACGCGGACTTAATATCATATTTGATACACTTATTTCCACGGCATAATAAGAGTATATATATCGATTTAATTTGCATGTGAACAAATAGCTCTAGTTAGATATACTATTAAGATCGAAACATAGTCTTCAGTTAAATAAATATTTGTTTATCTTTTCTGAATGAACAATTCGTTTAAAAAAAAGAAACAATCGGACATTTGCTGACGATTCCTATTTTCTAATAGCATTGTAATAACTATGATTTTAATGGAAGTGTATTTGAAATTTGTCGCAATAATGTTTAAGTGTATTTGTCTTTATAACAATTCCATGGAATCACTACTTTATTTGTCACGATTTGTATAGCATATCAAGTCATGCCACAGTAGTTAGGTTATACTAGATGGTGTCTATACATGGCTTAATCATATAAGTCGCATTATTTGACTGTGTCTCTGCCAATGACATTTTTCCTGAAAAAATATGGATTATATAATGAAAAACACACAAAAAACTGCAAAAGTGCTTACATGAAATTGTATGCTTTCAAAAATAGACGCTGAAGTGTCGAAAGAAAACAAAATGTTAATTCTAAATCGGTTACCAATACTTGTCAATAACCGCAATTAATTCAAAATGTATTTTTAAGTTGTTAACATTAAAAACGCCCTATAAAATTGCCCGTTTGCATGCTAAAATGAAATAAACTAAACAATAAAAATTCAAAACGTACGAAATAGTTTTTATAATTGATAGTTTTGGAGCACAATTAGAGTTATGTTGCGCATTGGGAGGTCTGTAACGTGTTTAAAAAGTCAAACAAAAGATGTATTGTTTTAAAAACCGATCAAGCAAAAATTGATAATATTTTTATGTATTTATTTGTGGGTTATGTTTGATGAACGGTTGTTTATTTCGGCATTTGAAAGGGTTGTAAAACTAGGCGTTAGCGAAAGTGTATCAGTAACAGGAAATACAAGCACAGTTTCCCGAAAAATGTGATAAATGAGAGTTATTCGTGAGACAATTCAAGCACTAGTGAAATGTTGTGCACACATAGATGTAGCATTTTACTTAATTCGAAGATGGCCGATATTAGAACATAAATAATTATCAATGATAGCATAACAAACGTTTTTGTTTTTAAATTGAATATTTAATTCTTTTAGAGATTCTTAGCATTTTAGCTATGTATTCTACGAATAGGTTTTATAATTAAAAAAAATCTATAAAAAAGTGAGAAAAGCATAATGATATTCAGACCAGAGACTGTGGTAATCATATGCAATAAAGGCACAATACTCTATATTTTATACTAAATTTAACAAAGAAAAAATAACGAAAATCTGAAAGTTATCTCTATTTAAATAGCAATTGCTGCCGTTTTGTGCATATAATGTTCTAATATGGATGGCATTACAGATTGTCTAATATATAAGTTTTATGTCAGCAAAGACTAGAGTCCAAAACCGTACCGTATAATTCTTATTTAAATTTGCATGACGAATGCTTGGATTTTAACAACTAATTATGCGAAATGCTAGGATTAAATAAATGTATCATTTACGTCTAAATAATGACAATTTTGCAGTGTAAATAGTAAATACATTCGAAACACTGTGCTAACCAAACAATAAGCGATTTTATTAATCTACATACATGTATATTCTTACTTACTTACTTACTATATTTGTGTACCCTGTCATACATTGGTATACCAAAGTTCGCTCGACACGATTGTACAATATTTTACTGGAAAAAGATAGTTGAAACTTAAAGTCGATACAGGGCCTTTTCCTTCCGAAGTGAGTGGCCGAAGTTGAAAATACATCCGCTAGCAATTTACATGATTTGCAGTATAATTTAAGATTATGTGTCGAATAAATGAAAGAAAGATTTTATTTAGTTAATTTATTTGTCGTAAAAAAGTAAATATCATTATATTTCTATTTTCCTTAAAAATTCGGGAATGAAAGTTGATTTAAAGTCTCTTAAAATAACAACTGCTCCAATCAGTCCATTGCGAAGAGTTTAAAGCAAAAATGTGAATAAACTTTCCTTTTTCCTAGGAGAAGTCAGTGTTTGAAATTGGAATATTGGTTCAAATAGTTGTGTCGCACACCGTATCAGTGAAAACTAGATATCATTTTCTAACCTTTGTCCATAGGTTTTTAGGAAAACGATATTGTGGAATAATCTTTCATTGTATGATTTGTCAATATATATTTGGATTTCGAAATTAAAGATTGTTTATGGAATAAATGTTTACAAAACCGAGCAATAATGGTATAATAATTATGTACAAGTAAGTGTTCACTCATGACAAATTTAATTTAGCTGTTTGTTTGTGTTCGCCTATGGATTGGTTTCTTCTGCTTTTTTCTCTCTATTAAACACGAGCTGAAATGTTTAAGCGACCGGAGAATATTCAGATCAAAAATGTTTTATTTTAATCATTCTTATAAAAGACCTACATTGACATGGTATTTTAATTATATTTTAAAGCTTTTTCTGATTGTTTTTATGACCTTAAACAGTCCTTCAATATTAAAGATAGCTAAGCAGTAATAAATCATTATTTCATTGCAAATAGTCATTTTCAAACTTCTTATTTGAGTTTAAAAGATAGGATGCAAAGTTGAAGCATATAACTGCTGACTTTACGACTTATTTGTTTGAATTTTGAAAGAAAATAATACTTCCAAAATATCTGACTGTATGAAAAAACAACGGTTTGTGTAGAATGGAGCATGTGCGAAATAATTGCTGAACGATTTACACACTACTTAAAATAGCAACATAATATTGTATTTCTTTAATATTTTATTCTGTTTATATACAATATGCATGCGTATTAACTATCAGGCGCGTTCTCTGTTAAAATTCTTTCTTGAATGGACTATAGAATAATGAAAACAGCGTGTTAATTTTACCATTTAGTAAATCTATGATAAAATCATTAGTTACAGAAGTTATAATGTTTGTTTTATTTGAAAATAAAACTCACTTGTATTGCATTATGAAATGACACTTTTAATGATTCAAGTTTATTTAGGTGTTAAGTGAACCCCTTTGATTGAACTCTTTATTGAAATTGTTTCAAGTATATTCCAAAATATTTTTTCCAGCGTTACAAAAAAATCATATGTATCAGTATAAATGCTATTAATCAAATAATATACTAATCGCGTCTTCTGCGTCAAGTATTTTTTTGATCTATAGGGATTCGTGTATCATGACGATCGTCGTCAATTGGTCAATTTTGTAATCCCTAAAGCATTTTTTATTCGCTGATAAAAGGTGAAAACCCGGCATTAATTGAATTTGTTATTGATCGCTTGCAGATTGCCACATAATGTTTATTGGATTTGGAATGGTACTATAGCATTTAGTTCAGCCATTTGTGAGATAAACGTGACTTTTTACAGTCATCTGATACACTATGTATAAGATTAGTAATATTTTCATTACGCATATAGGCATATTAATAGTAATAAATAGATGATATTCATTTTTTTCTACAAATACACATCGAGTGGTATGAAAATAAATATTTCATGATTGACGGTAGTCACGCGTGAAATATTATACTTTTCATAGCACAAGATGAAAATTAACCCTACAACCCTAAAATTTTCTGTTATGTGTATACATTTATCTCTTTTTTTGACATCACAGTTTGAAAGATTATTCCTTATATTTTGTTGTTATTGGCTGAATTTACCAGAAAATAGTCCAGTGAAAATGCGAAAAATATGTTTCACTGCAGTGAAAATACGGAAAATATGCTTTACTGCAGTGAAAGTACGAACAAATTAAAATGTGATTATTTCATTTATAAGCATATAATAATATTTAAGTATAAATCTTTCATTTCGAACAATTATTAATATATAAATATAGTTTGTAACAACAAAAAGCAGTCATTGACGGGTCAAAACGAAAATACCATGAAAATTGTTAATTGAATTGACACTATAACATACATTTTCGTTGTTTATACAATATATAGAGGATATTGAATGAGTGTAAGTTCAATACTGAATTTATTGCACGAGTTGAATAAAATTATATTATGCGAGCCTCTGGCGAGCATAATATTATTTTATTCAACGAGTGCAATAAATTCAGTAATGAACTTACACGAATTTAATATTCTATTTATCACATACCCAAAATAAAGACCGTTTAAAGTGAAATAAGAGTCATTTTCATTGACGCGCCTATAGTATAACGCCAACATTCAGCGCGTCTTTACACTATGTTTGTATAACGCTAATGACGTCACGTCAAAATATATGCACGACCGTGCAATACCATTTTTACGGAGTCGCAAAATCGGCACGGGTGTGTGATAAATTACTTTTTGATAAGACATTACCAATATATGATGTACTTTTGTCATATTTCTTTACAACAGCAACATATTTCTACAATTGCGCCATTTTTGCAACGCTGGTTGTATTCAACACATGTGGCGTAATTCATTAAGGCTCTTCGTCAAAAAGGCTTACAATATGCTTGATTTAAATATTCGATGTTTTATTTACTTTCAGATGGATATTACAAATACATCGTCCAGTGGATACTCACTGGTTGAGTCAAATATGTCGGATTCTACGTCAACAATGACGTTGACAAACGTCACAACGGAGTGCACAACCGTGATTTCTCCTATGAAAGACGATATTGATTTTATTGATAAAACACTTACACCTATCATTTATGCATTCGGATTTCCGGGAAATATTTTATCATTTCTTATTTGGATACGTCCGCGCATGCGCCATTCTTCTGGTGTTTATTTAGCCGCTCTTGCGTTAGTGGATTTCATATTTCTATTGCTACATGTGCTTTTTGAACTTGAAAAAATATGGGAAGTCAAAACCATAAATATGCCTGTCTTATGTGAAATATTTCCTATAATATTTCTAACGTTTCAGTATTTGGCACCATTGCTGGTGTTAGCGTTTACAATTGAAAGATATATATCAATTTGCCATCCATTTAAACGCGAGAGATTTTGTACGACACGCAATGCTGAAATCGTTGCTGTTATATTGGCCGGAGTTTCTCTTGCAATATGTGCTATACAAGGATATTTCTGGAAATACGAAAACGGAGAGTGCGACGTCCGTATAGATGCACTTAACGGACAAAATTATTCTTTATGGACCATTTGGTCGTGGACAACAGAGCTGTTACTCTTCTTGGTTGTTCCTCTGAGTGTCTTAACATTTAACATTCTAGTTATTAAAGAAGCAAAACGACTATCCAACTACGAACACACGCAGTTGCATGGGCGTGCCCAAAAGACTTCAGCTACAACTATTATGCTTTTAGCCGTGTCATTTTATTTGATTTTCACCACACTGCCGGTAAGTGTTATGTATGTGTCAGTAGTGAACTTTGGCGAAGGGCCACTCTGCGGTGTTCAGGACGAAAATCCAACATGGAGAAAATATTACATTTATCACCTGGTCAGAACCGTTGTTGATGAGATAGGAATAACTCATTTTGGGCTAAACTTTTATATTTATCTCATAACTGGCAAAATGTTTAGAAACGAATTTAAGAAAATGTTTTTGGGTTTTCTGCATAGAACTGTTCCCGAAAAGATTCGGACTGAATATACTTCTATGGCAAGAACAAGTCTGCGTGGAAGCCTTAAGAAAAACACGACTGTAAGAATCAACTCAAATGGAACGACAGGGATGTCAATGGACAATGGCGTAAGAGGGAGTGAAACAAACTTGTGATCTAAGAACGGAAAACCCCTTTAATGTGTAAATGTATGAATGAAAGCGATTTATATGGAAACATGAATCAGAATCGCTGATTCTTGGATGTTAATGCGTATGTGTGAATATCGTTTTTGTGACAATCACTTTTAATAAGGACATGCATAATGATTTTTGCACGTTTATATATTAACCGTAATGCAATTCTTTTCGTTGAATGCCATTCAAAACAATTTCGTACGAAGCAGTTTGTATTTTTCTTACTGTTACATTTCAATAGACATGTCATGTAAACGTTAAGTAGTACTAGAAATATACTCCCAATGTTAGAAATAATATTCTGCCTTTAGAAAGAAAAAGAAAATGAAGTTAAAGATAGTAATGTAAACAAATTGTTTGTTGTTAATTGCCATGCCTTATTGTTGTTTAAAGTTTTGTAAATCAGTAGATTATTAATATGTGCGAAAGAAATGTCCCGTATAAATTTGATTTCTTTTAAATCATGTTGTTTTTTGTGGCATATACGTAGGGAAGTCAGAAAATATCCGGACTTTTGACTCGTTCTCGAAAACCATTCAAAATTTTCACTTTTTCAAAATATTCTCCACCTAAGTCTACGCATTTTTGCTATCTTAGTGGAAGCTTTTGTATTCACGCTGTGAACCATGACGTAGACATATAATTAAGGTACTGTTTAACAACAGATATGAAAGCCGCCCTGGTCTTATATTTCCTTCCAGTAAGCAATTTTTTCAGATCTGGAAACAAATAAAAGTCACAGGGGGCGAGGTCTGGGCTATAAGGAGGGTGAGACTACAATTGCATTTGTCAGAGTTGATAACCTCCACTGTAGCTGTAGCTGTGGGAGGGGGCGTTATCGTGAAGAAGGAGGACATTTTTCTGTGCTAACCTGGGACGCATTTGCTTCAGCTTTTCTCTGAGATTTTTCAGTACTTGGCAGTGACAGTTTGACCTTTTGGCATGAAATGAGTAAGAATCATTCCTCGTGAATCCCAAAAGGCAGCAAGCATGACTTTTCCAGCCGAAGGAGACAGCTTAAACTTTTTTAAGATGTGGGGAACCAGCTCGTTTCCACTGCTTTGACAGATCTTTTATCTCAGGTTAGGAATAATGAACCCACATCTCATCTCCAGTGGTAATGCTGTTCAAAAACTTATCTCCTTCACGATTAAAACGACTTACGATGTTCTTTTGCATTGGTTACTTTGGTTGCCTTTTGATCTGCGGACAGCTGTTTAGGCACCCACCAGACACTTACCTTGCTCATGCCTATGTGTTCGTGTAAAATCTTGTGTGCCGATGCCTTACCGATACTAAACTTGTTGGTTATCTCCTACAAAGTTACTCGACGATTTTTGTTGACAAAAGCTTTAACATTTGCTACCATTGTTGGAGTCACCGCCTCAGCTGACCGCCCAGTCCTAGGCCTGTCACAAACACTTGTTCTGCCTTTACGAAACTGAGATACCCAGTTGTAGAAGGTTGAACGTGATACACATTTATCAGAAAATCTTTTTTTAAGCCTCTGAAAGATGTGGCAGGGCTTTTCACCTTCTGCAACCAGAAACTTTATTGCAGAGCGTTGTTCCTCTAACATAGAGCCCATGATAGACGAAACACCTTTCATATATCTGAGGGCAAAATACTTTGTATACACAAATATCATTTAAAATAAACTAACCAAGTTATTGACGAATGAATGTAGTTTTCACCAATATATAATGTATGCATATAGCTGCACGTGGAAAGAGAAGAGCATGAAAAGTCCGGATATTTTCTGACCGTCCCTCGTATAATACAATCATTTTCAGCTTCGCCAATTTCTCTAAATAACTTGGAATGGTTTCTGTTTTTTCTGATTGACAGATAGTTTCGAATTAAGATTTAAAATTGGAAGTCAAAACGGGTTGAAAATGTATCAGATTTATAATGTATAAGAGTAAAATACATTATAAACAATTTTATAACTATAAATGATGTTGACGTCATGATCTTCAATCTGTATCAGAATAAGGATATCTACGGAATTATGTTATCATTTTAGTGAAAAATATCTTTTAGGTTAAAAAAAACTGTTGTTTTTTATATTCGTGTTTCATTGCAACATTGCTTGGAATAAAGATAAAGTTTTTGAAACTTGTTGGTTGATATTTGTAGCGAAGTCATGTGTCACACATAAGTTAACATTCAAAGAAAAAAATTGTAGTTTATTTGATTGGTCTATGTATGACTTTTAGATCGAGTTTATTCTTTGTAGTGTAAATAAACATTATAATATGACGGGATGTCATTTTTAACAAGAGCAATCAGTGATCACATGTGTCGCCTCATGATGGCCAATTTTATGTTGGGACAAGTTTTGTGACAGACAGACAGACAGACGGACAGTGCACAACTAGACTTGGTACTGATCATTCCTGTAAAGTTTGGATGAAATTGCACCAATAGTTTATGAGGAGTAGTCCGGACAAGCTTTTGTGTATCTGGTAACACACAGAAAAAAACAACTTTTTATCAAAGGGCAATAACTCGGCCAAAAATCATTCAACCGGAAAACCCGTGCAATATGTACAAGGACTTGAGCTACAGATCAATCCTGTAAAGTTTCATTGAAATTGCATTAGTTGTATAAGAGAAGTAGTCCGGACAAACTTAAAAAAAAAAAAAATTATTAAAGGGCCATAACTCTGAAAAATATCATTGAACCGGAAAATGCTGACAATATGCACAACTAGACTTGGTACTGATCATTCCTGTAAAGTTTGGATGAAATTGCACAAGTAGTTTATGAGGAGTAGTCCGGACAAGTTTTGTGACGGACAGACGGTTGTCCGGACGGACAGACAGACAGACAGACGGACAAACAGACGACGGAGAAGTGATCCCTATATGTTGACACTACTCCGTAGAGGCGACACAAAAATTCCAATGTTTAGTATGTATAATTATTTTCTCACATTGTAAATTTTATGTATCGAGACAAACAAAGCGGTGACCCGGTGGACACAATGAGAGCTAAACAGTAGTCAATGACGGAAACCTAAATTGTTTTATTTTTTTTTATATTTGAATAGCCGCTGCTTGACACAATTGCCTGCATTTATCGGTGCTATCCATAAAGAAGCTGAACCTAATTGAATCTGTAATGGTTTCAGTTCGGTTGCGTTGTTTGTTCTTTAAAGGGACTCCACTGAGTTTTTTTTTTTTTTGACATGACAGTACTGGAAACATTTTTGCAAGATTAATGTCCCCAATTTATAAAGGCCTAGACCAATATCTTGTGTGCAAAATTTCAGATCATTTGCTCACTCCGTTTATCCAGAATAATTATTCTCGTTGTGTAATTGAAAAGAGTTACAACACTATTCACTCAAATCTAGCTATCATGATTAATACAAAATACGATGAGTATAGTAAGTTATCTTTTGCAAGTATTTCCCACTCTAATCTATGTAAGAAATTCAAATTTTGTGTTTTAGGCTTTTGGACCATGTGGAGTTCTTTTAAAGTATCCGTTATATACATAAGTATATTATCGTTGTAATATATAATATTTTCAGGCCATTAATTTAATATTAAAACATGTAACATTCTCTAGAAACGCGGCTTTTACCGCTCAAGTTGAGTACCGCTCAAGCCGGTGCTAGGGGGCGTGAGGGATGTTGCACTTATTCATTATCCCTCATGTACAGACTCAATCAAACCGAGTCTGCAATTCTTATGTTATTTTGTTGTGATTAATGCTTCTGAGGGATCACTTTGTTTCCAGAATTTTTTACATGTTTTATTCACCAAGTATTTAATTGTCAATTCATTTAACATAACAATAGTAGGTAGGTATACAACTTTCCAATTGGGAAATGATTATTTACTTCAAAATTGTCAACAGATTTACATCGTCATATGAATGAGTTGAATAGCCGGTTTTATATTGATATTTTTGTTTACAACAATCACAAGAACATTACAAATCACCTGTTCTCACCACACTTTCTTATTACATTATTAACAGTTTCATTATTGTTTGCAATTACCTATCTACAGCTCAGGGCTGTCTTACTAGTCTTTTGTGATATTGTTTGGATATAATAAGACAGAAGCTATAGAATCTTATAGGCTAAACTTTTCTTCAGGGGTAGAACAAATATTGAACGTACATTTCTTCTTCTTTCCAACTGAGGCAGGTGTTGCTTTCCAATAAATAGAAATGAGCTGTGTCACGACAAAACCAACATCATGGGTTTGCGACCAGCATGGATCCAGACCAGCCTGTGCATCCGCGTAGTCTGATCAGGATCCATGCTGTTCGCTATCAGTTTCTCTACTTGTAATAGGGTTTAAACGCATAACGTTGGTTTTGTTGTGACACGGATCAAATAAACAAATTCTTTGTAGATAACAATACAACAAAAGTTCTCACGAAATACAAACAATCTTACGAAAATCAAACAATACAATGGCATGCCTTTCAGATAATACTTCCTATGGAATTAATGAAGGATGCAATTCCATTCTTTGCTTTTTAGAACCACGATTTTGTTATTTATAAATTCTCTAAATAACAAAAACTGCATCTATTCAAAATACCTTACAAAATAAATGTGAATTTTAAACGGATTTCAATGGTCTTAATAAGCCAATAACTAATTAATATTAGAAAGTCAATTAAATCCAAATTCCATAGAGACTTCCACGGAAAATAAAAAACGCATGCAAGGTTTATATATATTTTTTATTATGCCCACCGTTGTTTCAAACAGAGTTAACACTACAATGGCATCAAGGAAAATCATTTCAGTCTGGGCTTTCTGCTGTGAATTCACTCAACATATGCTTAAACTTCTATTTAAATTTGCAATATCATGCCTGCATTAGATATAATCAATGTACAAATGAAAGATAAAAGATCAATTCACATTTTTAAAGCCTTCTAATGCGTTCTAATGCATTTGACAACGTAATGTCGTCGCATGCTTTAATGTATTACGTATGTTATAACTGAAAAAGTTTTTGTTATAGGAAATGAAATATATTGTCATATCTCAGTATGTTAAATGGGATAGCAATAGTTTAACGCAATAGTGTTTGTTGAAATCTTGACAACGTAAGAGAAGCTTAGATATTTTATGTATAAATATAACATTATAACTTTTTACGTATTTTTTATGTGTTTCCATTTGCTGTTGTTATACATTCAGTAAGTCTAACATAAGATATTCACCTCTTTAGTCAAAATATGCAAACAATAATAAGTTTGATTATGTTAAATTGTACGAAATGTGCGCTTAATTAATTGCATGTACTACAAAAATAGAGAAGGATTTTTTCTTGGTTGGGTTTCGCTCCAACACAGTATAGGTCATTTGGCGACTTTCCAGGTTTACAGGTGGAGGAAGACTTCAGATGCTCCTCTGTACATTATTTCAGGCACAAACGGGCACCTGAGTAGAACCAACGACGTTCCGTAAGCTAGCTGGATAGTTTTCTCATATCCGACGACGCATGCACCACCCGAACCTACATCGATGATAGACAAGTGGTTTGAATTCAACGACCTTAATTAACCACTTGGCCACGGACGTAAGAAATTACTAGAAATATTCTTTCTATAGCTTAACTTTATCTTCACTGGTCGCTACGGATATTGTGTACTACATGCATGTTAAGGAATCGACATAGCAGACTAGATTTGTTAACACAGAGACAAAGTAAAGCAGAACACCCCAATGCCATGCCACAAGTATTGGCCACGCGTCACTCCATACTCGCTGCTGTATATGATTTCTTCAAAATGCAAAATTAATCCTTTGTGAGCAACAGAAGCAGACGACGCAACTTGGCGGCTTGGGAGACATAAGGAAAGTCTCGTATTTAAAAGCTGAAGCATCGTCGTGTTCTTGCCACAATAATAATTTATTTAGCTCTTGCTTTTTCCAGAAATAGTAAACTTTGACATAATTATGATCTTTTAATGTATCGGAGTGAATTAACACTGAGTAAATAATGTTATTTACGATATGTAGCCGTTTGTCACACGTTCATATATCATGCTTTTTTATTCCTGATTTTTTATTGGGTTGTTTATCGCACCACCACAGTATATGTCATATGGATACTTTCGAGCTTTCCTGATGGAGGAAGACCTCAGTGCCCGATCCTGCATTTATTTCGGGCATAAACGGGCATCTAAGTAGAACCATCGATGATCCGTGAGCTAGCTAGATTGCTTCCACATGAGTGCATTTATCCAAAGTCCCTGGCGGGATTCTAATGCATAGCAGTGAGGAGCAAGTGGTTTGAAATCAACAGATGTAGCATTTTATGTGTGAAATGTTTTGCGATATTTTAACATTACTTATTTCATGTAATCTAATGAATTGTTAACTTACTAAAATTCATTTTATAAATTTGTTTCAATTAGTTTATTAATTATCTCTTGATAAGCCACATTCATAGTTGACATAATTACAAATTTACAAACTGCACAAATTTTACTTTTGGTAAAAGAAAGAAAACACTATGAATTGGACTGAGACAAACGCAGTTTAAATGCTTATAGCTTACGGGGAAAATATACAGCGGTTACGTTGTTTCAATCGTTTCTAAAAAAATGTATATTTACAAAATACCTATAAAATGTTTAAAATGATAAAAAAAAACATGAATGGCAAAATAAAGAATATTGCAGGATTGGTTTGAGCATGATCATGTAAAAGACAACATTTAAAAGAACGTTTCGTTTGTTTGTATAGCGTATAAAAATGACTTTCGTTTGATACTACATTGAGCTTACAACATATCTTTCTACCAGACACGCGGAAATCACAGATTTATACATTTGTGTCAAAACAGATTCTCTTCGACACTATATTTCCGGCGCAGACAGTGTATTACAGGTTGAGATTTATATGGAATTTTTATTTCTTGGAAAAGTTGGGAAAACATGAAATGAATCACTGTTTTCACATAGTTGAGACAGACAGCAGATTTATATATTTATACACTTTGATATTTGACATTTAGCAGCAATAAGTTATTTTGTAACACAATTAGTTGTCACATGGTTGCGAAAACTGATTATTAAAGTGAATAGGTCTACAATGGGCACTTTCAAATGGTATTTCAAATAT